TCCTATAGGGAACATCTAGAAGTGTTTATTGTGCATAAGTAGTACATTTTTGTCTTGAATTCCTCCTGAAAAAAAGCAGTGCACCTTCTGTGTCTTGAGCTTTATAGCTGTACATCTGCAGTGTGAGATCATCTAAGGCACTGCTGCCTGTAACTACTAGTCACAGGATATTTGGAGGGAGATTTGATGATATTACTACTTTGCTATTCACTGTTCTAGCTGGAGAGGAAGCTGTACTTGAGGAACTATATTGCACGTATCTCCCCGCTTCTGATACATTCATTTTGTGGATCAGGGCTTCCTACACCTTTCTGTCTGCTTTTTAATCATTTCCCTACCAGCCATCCCGGGGGCATGACATGAGAAAGCAAAACCCTGCCTCTACAAGATGGCTGCCTTCATGCAGAGATGCAATGGCATATCAGTAATTGGGAAAGGATCAGACTTTTTTAACATCCCCCATTTTAATCTCCATCAGTGAAAAGTACCATTCCAAGAGACCTCCTAGACCTGCAACATGCACTTTGATGTCCCTGGGTTTTTTGACAGACTCCCATATGCCTATCCCCTAGTGGAGGGGTAGAGGTGCAGAATACAGGTCCAAGAAGTTCCATAGAATTGAATTTTCAAGATGTGGAACAGAGAGTTGGAGACACAAAGGTGAGTGTTAGTTACACCGTTCTTTCCTCACCTTGCTCTGGTTATCTGAGCTTGATCGATTTCTGTGAATTAAGCTCTTGGAAATAATTGCTTATACACACTGTTTTGGTCCTGTTGGCACCAAGGGTAATGTAGGGATTTAGCATCGAATCCCTCTCCTTGTTAAATGCATCCCTCTAACCATGTCTTCCCCATGCTAATACCATTTTGTAGCGTGTGATGCATTTTTTACTTGCTACCTGAAACCTCTACGCAATGTGCATTATTAATACAGGGAAAAAGATTCACTTGAAAAAGGTTTCCTTATCATGCTAGCTGCAGTTCTATCTTTGCCCATTGATCACAGTGGTTATTTTATAAATTTTCAGGAATATATATTTCTAAATTCAATATACAGCAGCAGTATAATTTTGCCCAAAAAAGTAATCAACATTAAAATGGTTCTGAGCTCCATCCAGATGACTTTGCCTAGTCTGGGAGAAGCATATCATTGGTCTGCTGCAGGCTGGAAGAAGCATCTTCTCAGTGTTCTCTCCTTAAGAGCTCTTTCACATGGGCTGGATCGAGGGTAATCTGATGTAAACGGACACAAGTCCATTTACATCTGATTCCCCATAGACCAACATGGGGTCCAGTAATTGCAGTTTTATTCCTCCATTGCAAGATTGTATTTGACATTGGTTTGAGATGCTTCTAAAAACATTCAGAATTTATTAAAGGAGAACTATGAGGTGGGTAAAAATCACTCATCCTCATAGTTTGAGCCGACGTGTGACAATGAAACTGTCACAAGTCGGCTCAATAGATCGGGAAGTGAGTGAACACATACCGTCGCTCGCTCACTTCTCAATCATCTCCCTGCAGAGAGCCCCCTGCAGGAATATCCGCCCTCCCCGCTCCGATCCTCCAGCACTGACTGGAGGAACGGATGGGGTGGGTACAGCAGGCTCTGCCTCTAGATAGGCAGAGCCAGCTGTCACTCACGCAGCTGGGTGGATCTCGACAGTAATGTCGGGATCCGTCCCGGCTGCGGTGGTCTCAGTATACCGCAAGCTGTAGCTCGCGATATACTGAGCTTTGGGTCTCGGGAAGACGCTAGTATATGTCCTCCCTTGACCCTTAAGAGAACGATGGGGGAAAACACTTACCCCATAGTTCTCTTTTAACATAGTTCATTGACAAAATTCATTCAGGTACAGTAGACCTACAATTGATCTCCTTCTAAGTTGTATCAACCTGCTTCAAGCTGCTTTTGGCATTACCATTGACTTTTATGGGAAGTCTTAACTTTGTAGGCTTTGCCAGCCATTTGAGGACACATGTGCCGGGATTTAATTGACTGTGTCATCTTCTAGCCAGCACCTCAGTCTAGGCAGTAGATGCTGAACTTGGATGATGACTGAGCAATGATGGTGCTAGCCTTCTTTAGAGAAAGGTAGATGGAGGCATTGCCAGGGGAATACTGTGATCTTTGAGAGAGGTTGTAAATATCTGCAAATGTTACAGTTACATCTGATGATAGAATGATTGGTACACTTTAAGGTGGCCTGGTTATCAAGGACAGCTGATCAGGATGATTGCCTTCCTCATGGAAGTGGCAGGGAGTATTTAGCATAGAGCAAGCTATGCATGTGCCTGTTTGACTTATTTGTGGCACATATCTTAGTACTGTTGAACTGCATATCAGGCATGGCTTCAGACTGTCAGGGTGCAGACTATTGCACTGGCTGGTTCCCAAGAAACAGGTTTAAAAGCAACCAACCCAATTTCGGAATGTGAATTTCCATTAGCAAGCATGGCACTTCCTCACGTGTAAGTGCTTCCTTTTGGGGACAGACTATCAATAGGCTCATTATGGTAATCAGATATTACATGTAGCTGAGGAACCTTTTTTGAATGTTCAATTTTCAGGCATATTCTGAAGGAAAAATGCCTTTTGATCAGAATTTTTCACCTTACGAAGGCTTAAACGACCCTTATTCATGAAGGGGTCACACACTCTTTTCATGTATTAAACACCCAGACTATGTAAATGTGATTTCTCCTGGCAGACAGTATGAGTTTTTGCTCATCAGAGCATCAGTGCCTCAATGTAAAACTGTTTCACTGCTATTGATAGGTCCCCAATATGAAAATGGATGTTCGCGGTTTTCTAATCTACAGTTAGCAGCCCCGCTGCCAGCTTATCCATGTGACAGGTAAAATTGTCTGTGGAGCCGCAAAGTGGGGCTGTCATTTGGACAGGCTGGACATTAATGTGAACCGACGATGGAGGTTATTTAAAAATGGACTGTTCAGTCACAGCTGAAAGCTTCTCTTAACTAAAGAGCATTGCTTAATAAGCTGCAGATATCCATTCTTAGCTGCACCCAGAACTCTTACAGCTCCTAATTTGGCTTTCAAAGTCATTTACCGTTCTCGAATAAGCTGACTTTTGTGTTTTTCATTATTATTGGAATTCTGTAAATACCTTTAGACAAAAATATGCCTTTTATAGTTCTACCTGCTAGAGCCTTCCAATTAAACTGGAAAATGTGGTACTAAATATTGTCTAAGCCTAACTTCTGCTCAACTCAGGATTAGTCCCATCTATCATGGTGCCGAGCACCATCCTTTCCATTTAATAATTCATTGCTGCAGCCTCCACTATTGTCAGAGGTTCTGTAATTGGACTTTTGAATGGCAGGGACAGGGCCTAGCAGTAACTTGGACAGTTAAGGACAAATTGGGTCTAGAGACCAGGGGCTCCACAGGGACAAATAAACTGTTTTAAAGATTAAATTGGATGGTCTGTCACTGTATAAAGATGCAGAAAGTGACAGTGGGAGAGACTGTTTCTTCACTGAACCAGTGTGAGACTGATAGAAGACAGGTGGATGTTGCCCACACAAGAAAGTGCTCCCTCCTCAGGGCACACCCGGCAGCACCCGGAAGCCACTCAGGTCCCCTGCCTTGCACCTATCTAATCTATAATGGAAAAAACAAAACAGTATGACGAATTACTTCAATGTTTCTCATGGTACTTTGAGCATGAAAGTGCCACAGTGCTTACCGCTACAAGGATCAATGAGGAATTGTTTTCAATCTCATTTACTGTGTATCCAGAATCAGTACATAGGCTGGCCACAGGTTCACTTTAAGAGCCTATCTACAAAGACATCACACTCAAAAAGATGCAGATATTCATACCCAGAAATAGAGGAAGGAAAAGAATAGAAATCGACTGGAAAGATATGTGTAGCCTTGTGTAGGTTAGCTTGTTGGGTATTGGCAATATGTTATATTGGATTGTGAAGTGGTTACTGGCAACCTTGGAGTCAGCTCATGTAGACTTTTTCTGTTTCCATGCCTTTGGAACTTTCAAGGTCGCATTTTATGGGTTTTTGGGGTAGATCTGGATTACCATACACTTGATGAATGGTGAGGTTGGGTACTGCAGAGGGTATATTTTAAAGAGATGTAAAGCTGTGCAGAGGCACCCGTACAGTCAAGAATTCATACGACAAATGTATGTATTTTATTTTGATCACATTAGTTGCATAGAACACCAACAACACAATTCATGGCATACAGTAAGGGTAACAGAGGCTTGGTTTCCTCATTGAAGGTTAATGTTATTGGATCACATGGATGGACAGGTGAATGTTGCTGGTGAATGTGTTTTATTAATATGACCAACTTTTCCATGGTAGAAAATGGCGAGTTATCTGCAGATCAAACATCAAGACAAATAGGTCCTTGGATGAGTATTTTCTATAGCACCTTCTTAAAATTGAATTTACACTATATGACCAAATATTTGTGGACACCTGATTATTACCCACATACTGTTGGACATCTGATTCCAAAAGCATAGACATTAATATAGTGTTGCGGCTACAGCCTTCACCCTCCTGGGAAGTTCCTCTACACCAAACTCATCGAACCATGTCTTTCTAGAGATGGCTCTGTAGTCATGCTGCAACAGAAAAACAGAAAAACTCTGTTCAAGTTAGTTGTGTTACAGTGCATGGAGCATTCTGATAGGAGAGGCTAGAGTGTAGGAAGATTAACTCGTCAGTCCACCCGTTTTTTTTTTTCACTGTCCATTCTCAGACTAGAGGAGGGACAATACCTGTGAGTGTTGCTCAACTGCAGAAGAGAAAAATCAGGTCTCCTTCTCTGGCAGACATGGCTATATGGCTATATTTCATGTGTATATTTATCCATTTTCCTGAAGTTCAGCTTTAATGTAATTTTTTTAATTTTTTCCATGAATCCTATGTTGTTTATAATTAAAAGGTGCGACCATATTAAAAAAAATGTTTTATTTATTTTTTCTCTTCTCTGTGTCTTTCCAGCTCCCAGCACAGCCCAATACGGCATCACAGGACGAGCAGAAATCCTCTTTTCTTGTTGGTACCTCGTGTTGACGCTTTCTTCTTTCACGAGCATAATCTACCTGAAAAACGTCATTATACAATAAACGCACAGAACCATACAAAAGGCTTTAAAGATGTCTGTGAAGGTGCTTATATTGACCGGATGCGATCTGGTGCGTTCTGTTTGAAGCGGCGCTGGATGTGAGCAGCCGCGAATACATGTGGGGGATGGCCGGCTTCTTTAGAATTGTTCATTTTTGTAAATACTTTAATTCTTTCTTTTTTTTCTGATTTAGCTGCATTCCCTTGTGACGCAGTACACATCGTTCCCCTTTTTTTAAGAAAAACAAAAATGAAAAAGTCTAACTTGTAACAGCTCTGAAATTACTTTTAGAGGCAATTAGTTGTGACTTCGCGTTTGTAATTTACAACTTTTTGGAAAAAAAAATTGTTTGATGGCGTTAGGTGTGGGCTGCGGTTTACAAACATAGAAAGAAAGAAAAAAGAAACCCCTAAAACTTAAAAACAGGACCAGAGGATCATTGCACAGCAAAATAATACGATTTAACATCCTGAGGCTTGCAGTCTCTTGCCTTTTTTTTGCAAAATAACATCTTGAACTCATGCATATGAAACAGTTTCCAGTTTAATGACAGAATATTGCCTTCAAAAAGATTACAAGCGTTTCATTTAGCTAGATCAACTGCAAGTTTAATACGCGGGTATCCGCGATCAGTATTATAAGAAAAAAAAATTTAAAGAACAAAAAAAAAATATAACTTCACAAAGCATTTTCCGTTTATACTTGTATGTTTCGCATGGGTGTGCCTTCATAAAGTTTTAATTTGTTTGTTTTATTTTTTATTTTTTATTCAGATGGGTTTTACTAGCTTAAGGGGGTTCAGTCTATATATATAAAATTGTTGAAATGTACAGAGAATATTTTTAGGAGTTCATCTCAAGCAGCCACCCAAGTGTGAAAGACTTCTACGTGTGCTAATAAAGACGTCCATTCCTCTGCCAATCTTCAAACGCAGTGTTCTTTAACCCATCCAGAGTACACTAGTTCCATGATTCTGATGTAACACAGCTTTTGTTGGCGGAAAAAAAAGCCTAAAAGTGGTTTCCAGGTTAGGGTGTTACTGTGTCTCTCCTATCTGCATTATCTATAGGCCCGGCTGGGGTTAGATTGGGCTATTTAGGTAACTAAAATGGATGTGGATCATAAATTAATTTTCCACAAAAGCAAGAGGATCCAAAAATTGTAATATGCTAAACTTCCAGGAGCTCAGCTTCTAACTCTGGACTAGCGCTGTTCCAAAGTGCAAAATGTGTTGGTGCTTCTTCCAAGGTTTTTTGGCTATGCCCTTTGGAGAAGAGAAGAACCTCAAAATGCTGCACTTTTTATGATGGTGCCTTAGAGGAGACCTGTTGTGATGCAACTATGAACATGACCATTGCCAGGGTTCCTGGGGCATCATCCTCGACCTTCATTATAGCAAGTGACCTGCCACTTGTAGCATTCTTGCTCCCGGTCATGATGAGGAAGGTAGCCCAGATGCTTACAGGTTTTCAAATGTCAGCAATGGACTCTACCCCATTTCTCTCATGACAGATGACCTTTAAAAAGAAGAGCTGAACATCTGGAAGTTTATTGTAGTTTTTTAGTATATGCTAGATATTCATTTGCCATGAGCCACCAACCTACTGGAAGGACAGGTGGCAATCAAAATTTGCCTGCTGGAGTTCATCTGTCAATAGGCAGCTCAAGACTGGAAGGGAAGAACTATCTAAAGTAGTTTTTGTTGCCCCATAACAGCCAATTTTATTCCTCTTTTATTCTCCAACAATGAAATGGATAATCTGATCTGAGTGCTATGGATGATGTCTTAGATGCATTGTCTTAGCATAGAATGCAATCTATATTAACTTCAGGGGGTTTTGTTTCCATTGTTTGGTAGACCAAGGGTACACCTGGGGGTTCTTGATCTTTTATGGTGCCCTTATGTGATCAGAAACCTCCACAGTATTGTACTTTGGAGCCCCAGCGAATTTCTGCTCAGTATGCCACATTCATTGAAGGTTCCCTGTCTCTGGGGTACTCTGGTTTTTCAGCAAAGCTTTTGCCCTGGTCCGCCATCCTACTGGGAGGACAAATGGCAATCAAAATTAGGCTGCTGAAGTACATCTGCCAATGGGAACTCAAGACTGGGAGGGAAGAACTATCTCCAGTATATTGTGTTGCCCCATAACAGCCAATTTAATTCCTATTTTTATTCTCCAACAATGAAATGGATAATCTGTTCTGAGTGCTATGGATGATCTTAGCATAGAAAGCAGGGTTTTGGATAGCAATCTTCATTAACTTCAGGATTAGTTTCCATTGGTGGGAGGAGCAAGGGTACACCTGGGGGATTCATGATCTTTTATGGTGTCCTTATGCAATCAAAAAACTCCACAGTATTGTACTTTGGAGCCCCACCGTATTTCTGTTCAGTATTCAACATTCACTGAAGGTCCCCTGTCTCTAGGGTACTCTCGTTGTTCAGCAAAGCTTTTGCCCTCGGCCACTGTCCTACTGGAAGGACAAATGGCAATCAAAATTAGCCTGCTGGAGTTCATTTGCCAATGGGCAACTCTAAGACTGGAAGGAAATAACTATCTCCAGTAGTTTTTGCTGTCCAATAACAGCCAGTTTAATTCCTCTTTTTATTCTCCAACAATGGAATGGATAATGAGTGCTATGGATGATGTCTTAGATGCATTGTCTTAGCACAGAAAGCAGAATTGTGGATAGCAATCTTCAATAATTTCAGGATTTTTTTCCATTGGTGGGTGGAGCAAGGGTACACCTGGGGGATTCATGATCTTTTATGGTGCCCTTATGCAATCAAAAAACTCTACAGTATTGTACTTTGGAACCCCACCGTATTTCTGCTCAGTATTCCACATTCATTGAAGGTCCCCTGTCTCTAGGGTACTCTCGTTGTTCAGCAAAGCTTTGTTTACAACTGCGGGGAAAGCTTTTCCTTCTATCAGCAACCTTTGTCCCACCATATTGCTGAATGAAAATGTGCCACATCTTATTCTTCCAAAGCCTACCCAAGACTACAGACCACACCAAGTTTTTAATTTGATGCCTCTGCGGAAATTGACTATTTTCATGAAATTTAGGGATTTTTGCAAATAGGCAGCCTTAAGATACCTCCACTGTGAAATCAATGGAGCACACCATTATTTTTTGTTTTACTATTTCCATATTTTTTAAATCTAAATTTATACACACTACTGCTTTTCAATCACATTTTTGATCCAGGCCAATGAAAAACGTCCTGCTTATCCACAAACATATCATGTCATTGTGATTTGTTAATGCTTTCTTTGCTTTTAAAACCGATCCATGTTGCCGTTTTGATCTGCCTGGTTGTTTCGAACATTTCCTCCTGTTGAAAGCAGATTAAAACTCGTTTGTTTCGTTATAATCATGGGAAGAGCATCTAGGAGAAAAAAAAACTTCAAATAGAACGAAAACAGAAGTATTGCTTTGAAAAAAAGTATTACCAATGGATAAAATACACTAAAAGTAATCCATGTTTATGTCTCGTTCTCCCTGTTTTTGTTGAAGCAATTAAAAAGCTTGTGGGCACATACTCTTGCAGAAATTATGAAACGTTATGTCTGACAAACCGGAGGAAACGCAGATAGGGGGACAGGACTCTAGCACCCTCTAGGGTCTAGCACCTATGCTACGACTCTTCCTAAAAAAAAAATGGCCTTGTACAACAGTGTCTATCACTGAGCTTCTTGGTATCAGACACCCACTCCACGTTTTTTCCGAACCCTGATTATAGCACAATTCTCATGTGTGTTTTGTGATTTCAGAGCTATTTCTCTTCAGAAAAAAAAAAAAAGTATTATTCAAAATTCTTTAAAAAAAAAAAAAAAATGTTGTGCAAACGAGAATGTGACAATCCATTTTATCATCCATCTCCGATACTTCATGGAATCTGTATTGTTTTGCACTTGATTTTGTACTGAATTTGTGAAACTAGCTAAAATAGTCAAGAAAAAAAGTGGATATATTTGGAAATGGGTCTACTCAGCGGAAAATAAAAACTGGTAAAAATCATTCAAGTGTTTACCGACTCTGTTTGTGTCACTCCTCGCAGCGCGATGGGAAGGGAGTGTAATTATCTCTAAGTATTCAAAAAATAAAACAGATCAAACTGTGGAATAGACATTTGGATTTGGGGGGGATTGTGACATTTTGTGACATTGTAAAAAAAGTAGTCGCCACTCCAAGTTCCTTACCGCGATGGACTACAATCCCAATACAAATTCTGAAAAATTCGATATTTCATTATTTCAGGATTTGGATTCGAAATTCAATTCGGTTCAGGTTTCAGATTTGGACGAAATCCGAATTCTCGTTAGTTTCGGATGAGTTTACAAATATTCGTTTAAAACAGAAAACCATATACACATATTAATACTAAAGCTGAGGCTCCCAGACCCGAATGGTATTCGGGATCCGAATTGCCGAATAGCATTCTGGAGCTCCTGAATGCCATTTGGGTCTGGTAGCCTCAGCTTTAGTAATTTATGTATGTGGTTCCCAGACCCAAATGGCATTCGGGCTTTGAATTTCGGAATTGCATTTGGAAGCTCCCGAATGCCATTCGGGTCTGGGAGCCATATACATATATTAATAAAGCTCAGGCTCCCAGACCTGAATGGCATTCAGGATCCGAATTGCATTCGGAAATTCGGATCTCAAATGCCATTCAGGTCTAGGAGCCTCAGCTTTAGTATTGTATATACTGTATATGGCTCCCATGTCGCCGTAACGAAAATTTGTGTACAGACCCATTCGGATGCATTCAACCGAAAAACGCATCTGATTGGCCAGAAAGGTCACATGTCCAATTCAGTTTCCAATTCAATTTCGAACGAGATTCGTAATAGATTCGAAATTCGGAAACCGAAATTTGGATTCCGACACATTTGGATGCATTGGGATTCGGATAATCGGATGTGTCTGAATTTTTGGAAAATTCATCTGAATTTTGATTCGGAACGAAACGAATCGCACATATCTAGATTGTAGTCTATCACAGGAGCGAGCTTGGAGTGGTGACTACTTTACAACACACACAGGGACCATGGGGAACAAAAGTCGCCCCCCTCCAGAAGGAAGGACAGTGTCAGCACCAATTCAGAGATGATTTGAGGATCTACAGCCGTGTGATACATAAATAAGATACATTGTTGGTAATAGTTGAGGTACATTAATGCATTTTTAAGATTTAACTCCTAAGTTTAATGTCACTTGAAAAAACTTAATATATTGTAGCCTACCCACCCTTAGCTGTGGTGGTTGCATTAGTTCCGTTCTTTCATGCTAAGAACATTTTCTGTACACAAACAAACCTGCTGATCCTGCCAGAAAACGTCTATGCTTGTAACCATCTGTTCATTGAACTGAAATCTCAAACAATTTTATCAGCCTCCTTAGCTCTTTTCTGTATCCCCCAAATCACCCCCCATGTCGTATAGATGAGGAGAGGGGGATGTGTTTGACGTCTGAATCAGGAGAGTAGCCTTCGGTGACAACACTTTTCCTCCATTGATACAGTGCAGCCAGGCCCGAATTCCCCACAAGGCCACCGAGGCCCGGCCTCGGGGCAGCAGGGCGCAGAGGGGCGGCAGCGGGGTCCTTGTGGGGAAGTTGCCCTCTCTACATTCCGTCCTGCTTTGTACAAGCAGGACTAAATGTAGAGTGAGGCAGCCGATTTTTCATTTACATGTAAAATCGGCGATGTCGCGGAGATCACATGTAAACAGTGTCTAAAAATATAAAAAGTGATAAAGTAAAAAAACAAATGAAGAAACAGTAAAAAAAATTGACACTAACCCCGCCGCCCTGCCATCTGGTTGCCATTCTCCATTGATGGGAGGGGGGGGGGTGGCGGTGCGCATCGCAGAACCTGGCCTTGGGGCGGCAGGGAGAGTAAATCCGGCCCTGAGTGCAGCAAGTGAGCATTGTCACTGTAGGACAGGAACTATGTTACTGGGAGGTTTACCAGGTCACAAAAGCAAACTAATGCAGCCACCACATCTAAAGATGGGAAACTGCAATATATTACCATATTGTTTTTGGGTTCAGATATCCTTTAAAGAGGTTTTTTAATTAGCAGTCACTTTGATGCAATAATATAATAATAAATGAAAAGGACTTCTGCTGGGGTACCTCCCTGTCGGAAGCATGGTAAGGGGGTAAGGGTTCAAAAACTGCGCTATGTGTGCACTGATTGGTCCCGGAGTTGCTCAAAGTGTATGTAAAGCTGAAACTTTGTTTTTCAGTTTTGTATAGAATGTGGAAGTTTGAAGTCCGGCAGGTTTGCATGGCTTTGTCCCCATTGTGGAGAGTCAACTTCTGCACTTGTCCTGGTGACCATTGCCACTGGTACAGAAAGAGATGGAGATAATGTTTGAGTTCACAAGAGCAGGAGGGGAAGGGGGAATCTTCCAATTGGTTAAACCTACTTTGATTACAACTGTCTAAGAGAGGTTATCCCATTGCTTTGGAAAGAGATCCTCTGACTTCCTGCTGTCTCTGGGAAAGGAAGTGAAGGGAAATCTCCCTGGCGGTACATGCCAGGGATACAGCCAACAACCCGGCTGAAGTTCTAACAATTCCACTTTATGATACAGATGGACTTTAAATATGTCTGTCATTGGTAACAGCTCCAGATTTTATATCAGCTGCGAGCTTAACAAGTCATGAGCCATAAGAAATTATTTGAATTTCAGATTACCAAAGAAAAATCATTAAAAAATGAGCTCTGGTTGGTTCCTTTATTGGTCTGTACTTTGCCGTTTGCCTTTCTGAATAAGCCTGAATTGAAGCCTCTTTGCACAGGTCAACTATTAGAATGTCAGCACCATGGACAGCACACAGTTGACGGTTTTAAAAGGAAACTGTAAACCAGGAGTAGGCAACCTCAGCATTCCAGCTGTGGAGAAACTACAAATCCCATTATGCATCTGCCTCTGGGAGCCATGCCTGTAGCTGTCAGAATCTTGCAATGCCTATGTCACGATCTGGGATCAGTCTCAGAGTCCAGGAGCTGAAACAGCAGGTAAATCCGTGGTATAACAGGCCGAGTTCAGTACACAAGCAGACGGTAGTAGTATAGGAGCAGGCAGAAGCGTAGTCAGAGAACAAGCCGAGGTCAGTAGCCAAAGGTATCAGGTATGAAGACGATGAGAGTAGTAGGTGAATCAGCAGCCAAAGGTCGGAACATGGGTAGCAGTATGAGCAGATTGTATGACAGACGGAGCAGGAAGCAAGATATTGGCAGGAGCACAATAATCTGGCAAACAGGAAGTGCAGAGGCATGACTAAAATAGGAAGTTCAAGGGAGGAGCAAGGAGTTCAGAGTTCAGCAGAAACTAGGTGTAACTGAGGATTACACATGAGAGCAGGCAAGGCGCTATCCAAGGTTTCAGAGTAGCTCAGCAGATAGAGCCACCGCCAGATATAGCAGAGGCCCTGGGTTCAGATCCAGGTCCTGGCAGCCTGATTACATTTGTAGTATTACCACAGCTGAGGTGCCAAGGATGATGATACATATTGAGATAAGTTTTAGACTAATTATTAAGTTTAC